TGACATGCCGTTGGGATGGAGCTGTGCTCCCATGGGTTGACCTGTTATCCCTGTAACCTCCCCTCAGGGAGAGTTTTAGAGCACGCAGGGTGACATGGAGGGACAATGCTGGCTAGGTGATACAGAGCTTTCCAAACAGACTCTGACTTATTGGCACTCAGAGGATGATCTGGCCCTTGAAAATGATTTTCTGTCCATTACGTATGGGCCTGATTAAAAACCCCAGGCCAACACACTCCTCCCATCCAAAGAGCAGGCTCCCATACAGAGCCCTGTCTTTTCCATAAACATACTTTCTTTGTGACCATCACACCTACAAAGCAATTAATAAACAATGAGCAATAAAAGGATGCTATAGTGCTTGGCAAACTTGACAAGCTGATCGGAAGCAGGGTCATTTCACTCATCACTGAAATGCAGCTGGTTCTTGGGCGGAAGGCGGCAGCGGTTTAAGAGCAAACAGCAACACTGCATGACTCAAGAGAGAGGAACAATAGTGTTTCCAGTGGAAACCACAGGGGGTGTTTTCAGACTTCATCTGGAGGACAGCACCTGCAGCTCACCTCTTTCTCTGCTGCACTAACACTATACTTAGTTATTGGTTCAGCTCTGAACTGGGGGAGACAGTGCAGTCCTGGACAGGGATTCAGGAGAGCTGGGTTGTTTATTCCTGGCTGTGGTGCTGACCTGCTTTGTAATCTTGAACAAGTAACGCCCTTTACAATGGAGAGAATAATACTTACCTCGTTTGGAAAGCACTTTGAGCTGTACAGCTGAAAAAGGCTATATAGGAGCTAGTCGTTGTTATTTCTGAGTCATCACTTCCATGGAGCATTTGGTCAGGTGGGTAGGGCATGGAAGTAGGACTCCGGAGATCGGGGTCTGTTCCTAGCACTGCCACTAACCTGCTGAGTGACCTTGAGCAAGTCACTTTCCTTCTCCGGGCCTCACTTTCCTCAGCTATAAAACAGCTACTTGCTGTGAGATCAATGGACCTCCATGAGTATGTGAATACTAGAACCGTACTAGCAATGTGTCCCATAGCCAGGGGTAGATTTTCCCTCGCTACCTACAGCAGTCAGAATTCTTGTGTCGTTTGTGAAACGTTCAAATAATTTTTTTACACCCTGAAAACAAATGTGCACTTAGTGCAAGGAGTCATGTAGGCATGGCTATTGAGAGAGTAGCTATCGTACTGACTGCTGCAGAGTGCCCCCTGTAGGGCAGAATTGGACATTCTTGAGAGTCATTTAGAGGGCCGGAAATAGTGATTTCAATCCATTTGCTTGGCAATTATAGAGCAAGAGCCTGTGTAGGGCTGCTGACCTGACTCCCCAGCCCAGGAAGAAGGAACGCTGTGCCCCAAGTCTGTTCAGGCATTTCCATCAGGGCACAGTTGGATTCTTTAAACACAGAACTCACAAAGCAAAGCTATTCCCCTGAGCAAAGCAAGCTGCAGGGCCCAGAGGCCCTTCCCCACTGCTCCAGGGCCAGCTACAGATACCAGCTTCCCAACTCCCGCTCCCCAAATGTTGTTTTCTACTTCTCATGCCCCAGGGTGAAGCAGACTCATCTACTAAGTCTGTAACTGCCACCAAATAATATATTCCTCAGACATTCATGCCACTGCACTCTTACCCTCCTCTACACCCTTAAAAACACCGTAGTCCAGCTTTCTAATGTTACCTCACTTTCCCGATACTCTTCTGTAGCCTCAGACAGTATGTTCTGTCACCTTAAAAGAGTCTCCATTGTTCCTAAAGAGGCTTTCCTGGAAACACTCCCTGCATTCAGGGGATCAGCTGCTTCTTAACCTTACACATGTTCCATCACCCAACTTTGTGTCTAGTCGATAAATATAAATGATCATTCAGACCATAGTGACCAGTTAGTCTAAATATGAGCACTTCACCGATCCTTTCCGAACTTTGGAGTTGCACATTATCCTCTGTTTCGGGGAATCTTCTTCCTCTCTCCTCCTTGGTCCACAATTCATGTAATTCCTTCTTAATGTTTGTTTGTTTTGTTTTTGTTTTTTAAACTAAACTTCTAAATTCCTGCGTAGTCAAAGGAATCTTTTTATATCAGTGTTTCCATGTTTTAAAGCATTTTTCACTTCTTTATCTGCCGCTTTTTTGCCAGGTATCCCTACATGTGCTGGAATCCTTGGTAGTAATATGTTCACCCGGTTTGCATGATTTCAATGTCCAAACATCCTAACTCTGTTGTCAAAAACAATATTTCATTTATTAGATTTGAGGTATCCTGGGAATGGCCAGAATTCCTGATAATGAATCTGAAAAGATAACAGGTGTGGTAGGCTGTACATCTCTTATCTAGTTCAGTGCTAACATTAGTCCCACCAAGTCAGCTATCATAATGGCTACAAAATTAGATATTCTTTTAGATTTCTTAACTCCAATCTCAGGGATGCAAACGGCTGCTCCCATTCAACTTATTTTTTTCAACTTAAGATTCGCCTATATATATAATATTTTGCAATGGTGACTTCATTTACCGTATATAAATGGATAAACTTTATCTGTCATATAGAATGACTCTTTCTTTCCCTTTATTATATTATATAATTCTAAACTCACGTCCGGAAAGACAATTTTCCAGGTATAATTTACTGCCCCATAATTATAGATTTGAATCTCTTCTAGTCCTTCCTTTTCACATAACTCTTTTACCTACATTTTAACCCTCTGAGCATGAAGGAGTTTACTGTGTTAGGCTACATTTCATCTGCTTTATTCCCAACATTCCTCATATATTTGTCCAATATTCTTATCTGCACCGTTTCCCTTAACTTGAGCCCAAAATATCAGATCTAACTTTTTCATTCTCAAATTAATAGGCATTTCTCCAGTAGCTACCTGCATTGCACATAGTGGTGTCATAAGAAACGCACCACATGCAATTTGTAGCATTTGAGCCTGAATTGACTAACTTTTTAAGCTCCGATCTGGTCACAAAACTAAAGGCTTGACACCATAATCTATGATTGATCTTATTAACGCTCTATGTAGCATCATTTGCACTTTCTTATCTGCTCCCCAACAGGGCCGGCGCAACCCATTAGGTGATCTAGGTGGTCGCCTAGGGCACTACAATTTGGGGGGCGGCGACCGTGGCGATATTTTGGCGGTGGGACCTTCCGCCGCCTCTGTGGGGGGTGGCATTTCAGGGCGGGACCTTCCGCCTCCTAGGGCGGCAGAAAAGCTGGCAGCGCTCCTGCTCCCCAATTAATCCCAGCAATACTTTTAAGCAGATGAATCCTACCTTTTACATTTGTTTGTAATACCTTTTATATAGCCTTCCAAGTGAGTTTATTATCAAACACTACACCCAGAAATGTAAAACTATTAACTACACATGCCTGTTCTCCATAAAGAAATCAATTACACTCCTCTTTCGTCTTTTTCCTGGTGAAGATCACTCCATTTGTTTTAGATCCTCAATCAGCTCCCCAGTGTGAGACCTCCCTGAATGCTTCATTGCTTCTTTCTCCAGCCACTTTCATTCTCCTGCGTTTGATCCATATTGCAACTAAGGTGATACCTATTCCTGCCCTGACACTTTTTGAGTCGATTGTTTATCATAATATTAAATGTGGTTGGGCTGATAACACTTCCCTGTGGAGTGCCATAGGCGATATTCTAGATATCTGTTAAGACTTTCCCTACTCTAACCTGTTTAGTCCTCAAAAAAATCTCTTGTCTACTCACACATTTTTCCTTTTACCTCTATCTTGGCCGACATATAGAACAAACCCTCCCTGCACACCAGATCATATGCTTTTTCAGTGTCCAGAAAGGCAGTTATCTGCTCCCCACACTGAGCCCCTTGCTGGCTTTTATAATGGCTTGGTAGGTCTCAGCTGGGAGGTAGCTAATCAGTTCCTCTTCTCCTGCTGCTACTTTTCACACCTGTGTAGGACTCCTCAAGTGGCCTGTTGTAGATGTCTGCCACTAACTAATGGGGGGAAGAAGGGGGTTGGAGGCGATTTCCCTGGGAGCAGGTTATCACCTAACTGTCACTCCAGGGTTTCTTGCACCTCCCTCTGACGCACCTGGACTAGATGGGGACCACTGGTTTGATCCAACATAGCAATGCCTACACCAACACTGGTTTCCCCCCTTTTCCCTCCGGGAGTGTGGAAGCTCTTTGAGAAGGGGAGAACTGTGACTTAATCTGGATGTCTTTGTTTCTGCTTAGGTGTTTAGCTGATGTGACTAGCTGGCTGAGTTAATGTGCATATTCTGTTCTTCTCTGGCTGCTGTTTAGATCTTTGGAAGTTATTGCTGGTCTGGAAAGTAACAGCAAGATCTTCACTGTTTATGTGCATGGGTTGCTACAGCTACAGGTAAGGGGGCATGGAAGATGATGATGATACAGTCTGCACTCATTCAGTGCCCAGTGCAGTTGTAGTTGTGTTGGTCCCAGGATATTAGAGGGACAAGGTGGGGGAGGTGATATCTTTTACTGGGCCAACTTCTGTTGGTGAGAGCGATAAGCTTTCAAGCTTACATGGAGCTTATTTCACACACACACACACACACACACACACACACACACTTTTCTCTCTCACAGAGTGTGGTGGGATCACAGAGACCCAAATCCACAAAGGTATTGAGGCTCCTAGCTTCCTTTGTGGAGTTGGGCAAGAGTGCTTTATAGCGTAGGCACTGGCTTCGTCTCTACCCGGGGGCGGATGGGGGTGTTTGACACACACACACACCCCGCCCCAGGCTCATCTCCACTCCACCCCTTCCTCCAAGCGCCCGCTTCCACCCCACCTCTTCCCGCCCCGGTTCTTCCCCAGGCCCAGCCCCCTCCACCACTTCCCCCAGGTCCCCACCCTCACCCTGCCTATTCCTGCCCCCTCTCCTCCCCCAGCCCTGGCCCCACCCCTTCCCCCAAGTCCCCACCCCCACCTCGCCTCTTCCCACCCAGTTCTGTCCCCTCCTCTGAGCGTGCACCGTCCCCGCTCCTCCTCCTCCCTCCCAGCTCCTCCCGCACGTTGCGGAACAGGGAGGGGGAGGAGTTGATCAGCGGGGCTGGTGTCAGGTGAGAGGTGCTGAGAGGAGGTGGGGGGAGCTTGGTTGACAGTGGGTGCTAAGCACCCACTAATTTCCCCCCCCCATGGGTGCTCCAGTCCTGGAGCACCCACGGAGTCAGCACCTATGCTTTATAGGCATTATTGAATTAAGATTCTCAGCCCAGCTCCCTTCCCCTCCCTTCCACCCCCTATGTAGTAGGGAAGTGTTCTTAACTTCATTTTAGGATTAAGGTACCATGAAATTAAATGGTCACCCAGGGAGTCTGTGTCAGGGCTAGAAACAGAAACCTGATCTCCTGGGTCCAAGTTCCCAACTTTAACCACACAATTAATCTTCCTCCTACAAAACTGTGATATTAATAATAGTAAATACATAAACTCTTCATCCAGCCATCTCCCAGGGCTTTACCAAAGTGGGTAAGTATCATCCCAATTTCATAGAAGGGAGACTGAGGCAGAGAGCACCAATTACCCCAGGTCACCCAGCAAGACAGTGGCAGAGTAAGGAATAGTCATCTGATTTTTATATATATATACACCTATCTCATAGAACTGGAAGAGACCCCGAAAGGTCAAGTCCAGCCCCCTGCCTTCACTAGCAGGACCAAGTACTGATTTTGCCCCAGATCCCTAAGTGGCCCCCTCAAGGATTGAGCTCAGAACCCTGGGTTTAGCAGATCAATGCTCAAACCACTGAGCTATCCCTCCCCCCAAACACTGAGCTATCCCTCGTTGGCTGCTCTAACCACTAGACCGCACTGCTTCCACACTCTAATCATGTCAAGCCCAGACACGGATGTAAATAGAACTGAATAGAAACACAATGCTGCAGTGAAAATATTTGAGCAGCTCCCTGAAACCACCACATTCTGGTGTCCCGAGTCCACCCTCACGATAGCCTTTGCTGCTTTTCGTTTTCCCTTACACACTGGATAGCCGTATCCGATTCCTTTCCCCCTTTTTGTTTTGAACATACAGGCTGGGCAATACACCTCTATATTTGTCGACAACAGCGCAGGAGCCCCCATCACCATTCAGAATGGATCGGATTTCATGGGCATGTTTATGGGCGTCTAACCTGGATCCCCACCACAGGTTGGGTGGGGAAGGACATGACTCAAGGAGCCTTGCAACATACATCTGACTGAACAACCCTTTACTCTGACCCTAGAGGACTGCTCCGTTACCCATTGGCGTCTATTTTTAATACAGTGAAGTAAAGAGCCTTTCCTTTTGCAGACACTCAACTTGCTTTTCAAAGGCTGCTGCTTTTAAATGTCTACATCAGTTCTGCCTACAAATATATTTTAAATAATAATAATAATAATTAAAAAAAGAAGTGTATATTATTTAAATTGTCTGTGCTTCACCAAAAGCTCACAGCGCAATATACCAAGGTCTGGAAGGGTTACATTGTAACTATCTGTATAACACGATTGAGCTTGTATCCGGCGTGTCTTGGGGATCGATGGGTTTCGTTTGAGTTTCTTTGCAAACTAGCTAACAAAGCAAAAAAAAAATATATATATATATGGATGGATTCTCTGTATTTGGGAGGAAGAAGATAGGGATTTGCCAGCAAACTCTGCTGATGTCACGCTCTGGACAAGTTGAAAGCCCCCACTTTCCGGCCTGCCTCCTGGATGACTGATACCCAGCATGCTGACTGCTTTATCTAACATCAAGTCTGAGTGTTGCCCAGTGTAATTCTGGAGGCCCAAGGACTGAAGCGACATTGTTACTTTATTTCCAAATAGTTCCTTAATCTCTTGACAAAGCTGAGCATTTCATGTTGGCTGCGTGATTACTTTTTTATGTTAGGGTAAGACAAACAAGCAAGGGTAACAGTTCTAGCCAACTCTCTGCTTCCCTTATATTCTTATGTTTTAGTAAGATATATATGTATTTTTAGTCACATCCATATAAGCAGCATCCCCTGGGCCCCACATATTAAGTTGTAAACATGGCAGGAGTACAGTTGCTGGTTGCAAACAGGCCTGGAAAAGGCTGGGAACCGGAGGCCCCAGACTGGCAATGTGAAAGTTGTCTTTTTGTATGGTGCTAATTTGGTGGCGGAATTGATGAAAATATCTGAGCAACAAGGAGTGCAACTCCCCTCCCTATAGAAGGCATCGTTTAGGACCCACCTATTCCCTACTTTTAGGTGTTAAGTGCTTCAAAGGCCTTGTAAATGGGAGGTCCAAGGTACCAAACGAGAAGGTCACAGGATCGGTAGGAAGGTACCAAACGAGAAGGTCACAGGATCGGGGCTTGTCCAGACCCCAGTTTGCAAAGGTAGGTGCCTTAATAGGTCCTGCACCTCCCAAATTCCGGTGTTCCCTGGTGCTAAGGTGTGAAACCCTGACGCACGTGAAATCAATAGGAGTTTTGACTTCAGTGGGGCCAGGATTTCACCCATGATCTGGAGACTCAGATAACCTCTGAGGCACATAAAAGCTCATTGGATGCACCTGGGTGTTGATTCCAGCATCAGTAGATGGGACTTGGATGTTTTGCTAATGCAAACTCCATAGAAAAATGACCCTGTCAGATGACTCTAAAGAGACACAGGCAAGGCAAAGAATGGGATCGATGGGCCTTTTAACATTGATCTAAACTGATAAGAAAATAAATGAGAGAATCCAAATACCTAGTTTAGGGGTCTTGTACTTGTCTAATCTACCACCCTCCTCACCAAGCAATGAACCCACCGATGCCATTTTTGTGATACCCACAGAAACGCTGCCCCCTCCCTCTGCTGGGAGGAGATAATCAATGAGCCTCCATGCTCCAGTGACACTGCAGCACACAGCTGATCGATTTAAGGCACTGTGGGAAAAGTTGCAGTAGAACAGAAATGGGTTCTTTTGTATCAGCTACTTTCTAAACCCAGGGAGAAAAATATCCAGCGCAGAGGCGGCGGGGAGGGGGGAGATAGTATTTTCGGTTTGCTAGGAGTATATTAAAAAGCAATAAAGAATTGGAAAACCCGGGTCCTTTAAACACAGGCCCTATTCATCCCTGTAGTCGGCAGAGTTCCATGCGGGGAGGAGTCTGTCCCATATGAGACAATCTCTGTGACAGATATCAGCTGTGTTGTACACGGTTATCCTCTCAGTGCACCCTGGTCCCTGGGATCAGGCAACTGGTGGCAGCTCAGGCCTTGATGGAAATGAATCAGTCAAGCG